GTTGAGAAGAGAATCAGTTCAGCAGAAGAGGGACAAAAGGAATGAAGGAAGGAAGATGGTCCAAAGTAAATTAGAGAAGGGAACAAAACCAGTAAATCTCAGAAAGCCATATATATATACATATATGTGTGTGTGTGTGTTTTAACACTATGGGAAAACAACTGAGGAGAGAGTTCTACGAAATTAGAAAAAGCTACTTTGAGCCACACTTCCTTTGAAAAAATCAGGAAGACTAAATAAAAATCAAATAAAGAAAAATAGAGATCAAATCCCACAGAAACTAAAAGAAAAAAATATGTAGAATAGCACTCCTACAATGAAAGCATGCCAGAAAGACATATGCATATCATAACAAAATTGCAACTTCTATTTTAAAATGAGCAAAAAGACATTAAAAATATTATATAAGGCATGAAAGAACATCAATCAGAATTTTAAAAATTCAGAAATGAACTCAAGAAGATATTAGAAATTTAAAAAATCATTTAAAATACAAAGTCTAGAACTAGAAGGAACACAAACAAGAGTGAATAAACACAGTAATCAAAAGAAAATAGAGACACTACAAAGGATTAAAGAGAAAGGGTCAAATACTGAAGACAGGAAAAGAGTATTTGCATGGAAGTTCCATGACATACTGTACAGCACATCTCATATCCATGAATATTGATCCAGAATGACCAACTCTAAGACAAATTTTAATATAACCACTGGACCTTAAAGGAAAATATAGTGGGACTATCCAGACAAAAATAGAAAGTGACTTATAAGGGAAAGAAAATTAGGTGATCAGCCAGTTCTGTGCAAGATAAAAGCTTTGGATCAAAAAAAAAAAAAAAAGCAGCTTTGGTCATACTGCTATTTTCCATGGCTACCATGGAAAGACAATCTGCAAGAAATACAATGGACAGAGACAGCATGGTGAGTTGTACAATGAGTGAGTGGCCATCAAAATCTTTTTAACAGATACACTATTAAAAAAAAAGGATGAAAAACTAACCTGTCAGACTAAGAGACAGATCAAAACTAAGTACAGCAGGCAAAACTAAGTATAGCATCTAGGTATACGCAGTTAGTAACTAAGAAGAAATGCAATCAAGTTAACAGATAATTATGTAAGGCAAGATATCAAGTCAAATTCTTTAATCTAGATCAGTGCTATCCAATAAAACTCGCTGGAATGAGGGAAATTTTTTACCTATGCACATGAGGAGTTGAACTTTTTTATTAACTCAAATAGCCACATTTGGCTGGTGACTATCCTATTTGACACGGCAGAACTACACTCCTCTCTTAAATTTTAGGCAATACATACCAGATATTGCCACATCAAAGCTGTACATGTTCCTCAATCTCAAAACATCCAAAACTTCACCCAACACTGTCCTTCCCGGAATCTCTTCCTCCTGTGGTCCCTTTCTCAGTGACCAACACCATTCTCCAACCTGGGCATTACTTGGACTCCTTTTTCTTTTTTTCATATTACAAATGTACTGAACTTCAACATTATTAGCACAATCTTTTTTATTAAGGTAACAACACTTTTTTTCCCCTTATAATTACTAGTTTTTACAACAGGAGCTGTATCTCACACATAACAAAATTGTATTATGATACTTTACTTATGAAAAAAGGTTTCTCCAAATGATAACTGCTCAAATGTAAAGGATAAAGTAGAATTGTGGTGTTAACACAGGAATGTGTGTCAAAAGAACAAAATTAATTTAAATAAGTCATTCTAGATGCTAACATTAGAAGAACTGGGTGAAAAGTCTATGGGACATCTGTATTCTCTTTGTGATTTTTTTGGTAAATGCAGAATTATTCCAAAATAAAGTGTATTTAGAAGAAAAGTCCTTGCAGTTCTATTTACTAATCCAAGAAAAGTTTATTGAGGGTCTATTACAGATATTCTTCTAAGCTCCCAGGACAGAACAGTGACAAAGACAGTCTCAGCCCTCCAGGAGCTTGCATTCTGCTCAGAGCTGAAGGGAATGGATATTAAAGTCTGAAGGTTGGACTGCAGACAGGTCATCTGAGGCAGAGGTGAGTCTTGAGACAAAACAACAGAGGACACTCACGAACAAGTCAAAACACTCAGCATTATTCTAGGGCTTTGGAATGAAGCTAGAGAAACCCAGATCCCCAAGTTCCCCCATCCCAGTCCCTTCCCTCACCACGCTGTCACTGTCCTTGTCACTAAACTTTCTGGCTCTATCGCCGGCATCTGGCCAGGTCCCAGCCCTCACCTGGATCAACATCTTCCCGTCAGGAGAGGTCAAACACTGCTGGGCATCTAAAGCTTACAGGAACCAAAGCAGCTGTCTTTTGAGTTTCAGCAGAATTCTCTCCGACTCCTCCTTAATTCAGGCTCCACATTCAATTAATCAAGAAATTCTATTATTAATAATAATACCTAAATATCTCTCAAATCTATGTCATGCAGTGCCACTGCCACTGTCCCTTCTTTAGGGCACTATCACGCTCCTTGGACTATTCTAACAGCTCTGTCTTCAGTCTTGCCTCATCCTCAGATGCTCCTCCATTTAAGCCTCCAATAGCCTTTCTTTCTTTGCTGTTAGAGTAACATCCAAACTCATTATACACATAACGGTAAACTGCTATAAAGTCACAATCACCAAACCTCACTGAATACTCCACACTGCCTGGCAGTCTTTCAGATGTTTTCATTCTTTAATGACTACTGCAAACATTACTCACTCCAAAACCTCTCATCTTCCTTTAATTCTTTGTGGATAACTTTACCACTGACTTCACAGAAAATAAGTCATCCTACCAATCACCACATTCTGTCATTTCCATAGCTTAAATAACTGCCAGTGCTGCCCACTTCTATTTTCACTGCCACCACTCCACTCCATGCCACATTTTCTGCTTTCCTAGTCTTCCACAGTAGCTTTCTTTTTTTTTTCCACAATAGCTTTCTTAACTAGTTTTTCTGCCTCTAATCTTGCTCCCTTCAGGTAACTCTCCCCATTGCACACAAAACAATTGTTAAAGATAATAATTCTAAAATATTACTGTGAATCAACCTGGGATTTTGTTAACATATAAACATCTGAGTCTTCCCTCCCTCTGCAAGAGTCTGTTTCAATAGGATTTTCTTTCATGTAGACATTCCTTGGATCTGACAAACACTGCTTTATTTTTTTTTTTTTTGCTCTTCTTTTTTTTTTAAATTTATTTTTATTAGTTGGAGGCTAATTACTTTACATCATTGCAGTGGTTTTTGTCATACATTGGTGTGTATGCCCAGAAGTAGGATTGCTGGGTCATATGGCAGTTCTATTTCCAGCTTTTTAAGAAATCTCCACACTGTTTTCCATAGTGGCTGTACTAATCTTCATTCCCACCAACAGTGTAAGAGGGTTCCCTTTTCTCCACACCCTCTCCAACATTTATTGCTTGTAGACTACAAACACTGCTTTAAAATTTAAGTCTAATCCATACTCCATATCATACTCTTGTTTAAAATCCTGTTACACTTTACTTCTTTAGAATAAAATCCAAATACTTTTTCAATCAGGCTTATAAAGTACTTCAAGATTTGGACTGAGAGTCATCCTTACCACCGGTTATACTAAATCTTCCATGTCCTCCAACTCACTGTCCTCCAACCCCATCCCTTCTGGACGTTCTTCTTGGACTATTTCCTCTGCTAAGAAAATTCTAGCTAGCTAACTCCTACTCATTCAAGTCTCTACTTGAAGAGTCCCTCCTGTAAATACTTCCAAACACCCTATACTCCGTTAGTTGCCCCTGCCATGTGCTCCCAAAGCACCCTATGCTTCCAATACCATGGCATTTCACAAACGGTTGTTGTAATTACTTAACTGTCTATATTTTCCCTCTCTGACCTGGAATGTAAATTCCATGAGGGCAGAACCACGTATCTTTTATTCCAGGGCCTAGCACAGCTCCTGGCACTGAGAAGGCATTTAATAAAGAGAAAGAAGTAATCCCTGCATGACCTGACCCCTGCTCTATAATTTGCCTTTATTTCTGGTATCCATCCTGTCCCAACAATGTTCCAGCCACACCAAACTACTTACAAGTTTCCAGATAGTCAGTCTTCCCTCCTATCTCCGAGCTCTTGCAGCTGTTGCTCCCTCTGCCTAGAGCATGATTTGCCTGGTTAACTCTAATTTATTCTTCTCTGACTGCCTAATATGGAATCAGTACCCAGTCATTAACACCCTATTTAACCCTATCCCCCAGCAGCTGTCACCAAGTCCTATGATTTTCTCAATGTTTGTCTGACTTCCTTACCAAGCTGTAAGATTCCTAAAGATAGGAACTTTGTTACAGTGTTCACTTTTGCATCTCCAGGGCTTAATGGTAAATCTAATATGTAGTAACAGTTCTACAAAATTTGCATAATGAACCTTTGATCCACAATCCAATTCTTTCTGTATAAATCAGAGCTCTATTCAACAGTTCCAGGAAACAAGTAGCCATTCTGATAACATCTCTAGTAGTTTATCCAATCAAAGCCAACTAAGTTCACAAACATTTGGCTTATGGAAACTTTCTGCTGAAGACAGAAAACCTCATCCATAAACTGAGAAATGTTTTCTGACACAAACCACTCAGAATCCTACCCTTCTGAGGTCTTCAGATATACTCAAAAAATACCCAACTGGCTGGTTTCACCACCTAGGCATCATAAAATGGAGTGTCAAACAACCTGTGAAGGGCCAAAGAATGTTCTCATTCTCTTATTTAGAATCTTATTTTCTTTAGATAGGGTGAAAGGTCAGCTACTAACAGCCTAACAAGTGGCCTGAAGAGGTTTATACAAAGCTTCCCTCTCTATAACTGAACAATACTTTTTATAATAGTTTTTCAGAAGCATAAATGAAGACTGCACAAGGAGTAACAAACGGGGGGGGGGGGGTGCTTTCAAATCACAGGTGGGTACAATTTTTAAAACACATTTGCCAACCTACATCATAGGAAAAAGAATCTATCACACTCACTTCTGAGTCTTCTGCACTTTCATAATCCGAGAGAACAGCTGAAAGAAAACAGAAACATATAAAGGGAAAAAAAGCAACAGAAATTTTATAATTACATCTTCCAGTGCTTGCTGTGGGTCAAGCGAAAACTCTCATTTAATCCTGACATCAACCTATGAGGTAGATAAAATTATAGTCCCCATATACAGATAGAAAACAGGTTCAAAGAGTGACTTTGACTTTCCCAAGATCATACAGCTAAAACTTATGCTCTTAAACATTATACTACAAAGAGCCCCTTTGTGGCACCCTCCCCAAAACCCTTAACAGTCTGCAAGCCTCTTCAGTCGTGTCCGACTCCGTGCGACCCCATAGACGGCAGCCCACTAGGCTCCTCCGTCCTTGGGATTCTCCACGCAAGAATACTGGAGTGGGTTGCCATTTCCTTCTCCACTTAACAGTCTGAGAGGATGTCAACTGCTGCAGACAGGTGACCTGAGTTTGGAGGCAAAGATCTCTATCATGATGCTACTCACCATCGCCCTCGATGCCATCTTCACTTTCCTGAAGGAAAGAAGACATGGGTTAGTTCTATGATTTCCAGGGGGTGAAGAAACGAAGACTGAACACAAAATGGTTGAAAAGGGAGACAAGGGAAGGTATATCTTTAACAGGCAGGATCTGAGGGAGGTCCCGTCTATTCACCTTCAGTCCCAATTTCTGAGTAAATACCCGCTTTCCATCCGCAGCAGCTCCGCCTGTCCCCCAACAAACCCTCAATCCCTTCTCTTCCCTTGGAGCTTCGTAGGCAAACCGCACCGGGATCGCTCTCCTCTTTTCCAACACACTCCGCCTCTACATCTACCGTCAACTCCCAGCCTCTCATCACCACCTACACCCCGCCCCCGGTCCGCCCCGCCCGCGCGCACTCACACACTCCGACTCCTCAGGGCTCTTAGCGCCCCCGCTCTCCACCCGCCGCAGATGAAGGGCCCCAGTTCGGCCTCCGCGCTGGGAAGGCAGAGAGCCGCTGCCGCCGCCTCCAGCGCTACCGCTGCAGCTCCCACCGCCCCGCGCCGGGGAACCGCCACTGTCTGAGCCGGAGGCACCAGATTCTTCGTCCTCGGTGTCCTGCGAAGCGCGCTGCCGCCGCCGGTCCGCCATCTTACGGAGAACGGCCGCCGCTGGCCAGATCCTGACGTACCACGCCCGTCGCAGGGGCTGCCGGGAAGCTTGAGAGCTGGTCCCAGCATGCTTCACTTGCGGCGCTGGTCGCCCGGCTTTTCGGGGAGACGGGCTGGGGGCGGAGCTGGCGCGTTGCGGCACGTTTGCGGGTGCGCGGGATTGCGTAATTGGTGACGTGAGGGGGCGTGGTGAGGCCCTTGACTTCCCCGCGGTTGGGCCCCGGGCGAGGGGAGTTGCTCTTGGGCGGGCAATCTGCTCCGGTCCTTGCCCGGCCATCTTGGGCATGAGTGGATAGCGTTGACCTGTCACAGTTTCACTGCGGCATTAGCGTTGTTTCATAATTTTTTTTCCATGTCTCATTTCTACCTACGTTTGAAGCAGATCGTTTGACTGCATTCGTTTGCTTAGTAAAAATCACGAATCAAGGGAAACCTTTGAAGCCGTTGTCCTGCTTCAGATTTTTTATCAGTCCATTTTAAGCTAAAGGGCGGAAGAGAAACCAGTTGTCTGTAGGGAAGCCCTAGGATTTAGTGTTGCAGCACTACAGTGTTTCCCCTGTATTCTCATTTCTTCCCACTTTATGTGTCTTCCCACCCCAGCCATCACCTCCCTCAAAGTGCAGGCTAATAAGATGTGCTTAGTCGCTCAGTCGTGTCTACTCTATGCGGCCCCATGGACTGTAGCCCACCAGGCTCCTCTGTCCATGGGGATTTTCCAAGCAAGAATACGCGAACGGGTTGCCATGCCCTCCTCCAGGGGATCTTCCCAACCCAGGAATCGAACCTAGGTCTCCCACATTGCAGGCGGATTCTTTACCGTCTGAGCCAGATGGTAATCTTACTAAAATATTAGAACCGACTTAGAGATAATCATAGGAACGGGCATTGGTTTAAAATCCCGAAATGATTTCCTTGCCAAACGGGTAGATGACAGAATGCTGTGATATTAGCAACACATTTTTCAGCAATGAAAAAAATCGGTATATTTTCTCTGTACCATAATAAAAAACATACAAGAAGCGTAAGCTAACTGTGCACCTAAAGGAGTACACAATAATATACACCCGAGGAAGGTCACTATCCTAGCACAGGACTCTGTCCCGTGTAATGCTTTTACAAATAATATGGTCAAGGCTACTGATGCTTATCAAATTTATAGCCATTATGAAACTAGACGGTATTATGAATGCCTTCAGAGATAGTCAGGATCCAAACAGAGCTCAACTGGTTAAACAAGTGGTCAAATGTGACAGCTTGTAAATACAGGTCCCAAAACCAACTGCTTGGGCTTAAAATGAAGGATGTATGATTTTAAAAGTGTTTAAAAAAAAAAAAAACACCTAGAGGAGCCTATCAATCACAAAGTAAATTGATATAGTAAGGCTGCCAAATTTAGTGTCTAAATAAGTAAAGTGATAGTCTGCCACTTCGCGTTTCAGTTGTTTGGTCTGGATTCAATTTTTAAATGGCCATGAGCAAATTGTTCACTCATTCAGAGAACTGAAATATTCAAGATTCTTTTGAGGAACAATTGTTAAGAGCTCTGAATGTGAACCAAGAAGATTGGGACTGCCACAGCAAGGTATTTGAGGGACTCTTAAGGAAAGAAGGAATTGATTTTTTTTTTGGGGGGGGGGGGTCACCTTGGAAAGCAAAGCAAGAACCAGTGGGCTCAAGTTACAAGAAGTTAGGTTTTGTCAACAAGGAAGAATTCTCTAACATTTAGGAAAAACTGGACAGGAGAAAACGAAAGTATTGGAGAAGCTGGATTTCATTTGTCTGGAATGTTGTCAGAGGGAAATCATGTACTTGGGTCAGACTACATGACCTATAAGGTCCTTCCAACTGAGGTTTTATTAATTTAGACACCAGGCAGCAAGCATTCTATCATCTCTTATTTTTTTTAAATTGCCCGTTATCTGTAAGGAAGAACCCAGGACAGAGATGGAACATACATTGTGTTCATACACAAATGGAAGTTAGTATCTCATATAAAAGGGAAAATGGTGTTTTTCTATTTTGTGAAAGTGGATTTCTTTTTCTAGTCCTTTAAAATATCCAAGCAAAATTGTTTAATGCTTCCCAATAAATGTAATAAATTGAAGCAGAAGTTCAAAAATTAACAGCCACAATAGTTTATTTACAATTGAACTCTTTATAAGATATTTACAAGACAACCAATTTTACACATCAGAAATGGTATCAAAAGTATGAATTACAACACAGACAACAATATGAAATGGGCATAAAACAAAGCTGAAGTGGACAGACAAGCAATTTCTCTTTTTAATTTATTAACACTAGCTTAAACTTTGTTAAAGAAAGAAACAAAGAACTATGTTTTAGGAGAACGGCAGGGCCTTCACTTGAAGACTGAATTTCACAGTGTTGTATCCCATGTAGGGAAAAAATAAGACTAATTTCCCCCCACACTCTGACACACTGTCTTTCTGCTCTTGGAACTTTGCTCATCCACTCTCCAACCTCCTTCTCAGCAAAACTTCAACATATCCAAATCAAAGGAGAAGTAATCTAGAAGAGGGGGCAATAAAATAAAAAGATACTAGGTAGAGGGAAAACCAAGGAAATAGAATCCATATAAGTCTGGCCAAATAGCACCTCATGGATTCCTCTTAGTCTAACTTGAGTTCAGAATCTGGGAAGTCCCTTGGGTAGGAACAAACAAAGGTGAAATCTGCTAACCCATATCCAAAGGAACCCAACAAATGCTGAAAATTAAGAAACTGAGAGGAATCAAGGAATAAAATAAAGAGACACTGACTGGTCTTTTTTCTTCTTGGGCACATTTTAAAGGAACATAACATAGGTCAGAGTGGGAAAGCCAAACAGTTTGCCATATTAAAATGATGGAGAACAAAGAAAATCTGGCCTAGTTTTTCTAGAAATCTCCTTCCTGTCCTTAAGGTGTGAGATGAGAGCCCCTAGTGGAATAAGTCCTATTTCTCTCTACATTCTTGCTGCAAAGAAGTTCACAGCAGGTTCCCTTGTGGAGAGCCCACTCTCCTAAGCAGATGGAGTTACAAATGAAAACCCATAGCCACACACACACACACAAAGGAGAAATAAGAGCAGCAAGATCATCCAAGAATACTACATGTGCTGCCCGAGTAATTCCTTTAAAAGTCAAACTCAGGGAGCACAGACCAACATCTCATGAAAAGCTTTAGCAGTGGGAGGCCCCTGAGGAACTTTTTTCTTCCCTTCCCACAATGGTATCCCATTCTCTCATGCTCCACTGATGGGCCGGCCACACACCCTACATACCTTGGCTTCTCCTCTAAAAGTGCTAATAATCTGGGGACATATTCTCTTCAAGGATAAAAGCCCCTACCTTCTAGGAGATTAGACCCCTACTTGTTTTCATACAATAGTCCTGAAGACTAAAGAAAGGCAATTCCTATATATTTAAGACCAGAGGTCTTGGCTCTATTTTCCTTCCAGATAGTTACAGGGATCTTACACTGAGACCAAAGTGGCCTGGAGTGCTGTCCTGAAATTTTTTAACAAAATGGGGGAGGTGAGGGTTGGGAGGGGGGAACCAAGATGGTACACATACAAATCTATTTTTACAAAATGAACTGGAGAAGCTCATTAGGTACATCTGTTTGTTTCAAGATGGAGACATTTGCCAGCCAGAGGAAGCACATATTTCCATACATCCCCATCCTCCCTAAATCTCTAACCCACCACCAAGAGCTCAGCTAAAAGGATAAAACCCAACTAAGGAATACTCAAGAGGTGATGTGACACAAAGACATCTGTACAGGATCTGGCATGCCATTCCCAAACACCAACTGCTTTTGTTTAGAGCCATAACTGGCCCCAAACTAACCATCTTCAGTCTCTCTTCAGAAGATTATATTCTTGAGGGGTGGGGAAAGAAATTCAGTTACCCTTTAACTTAAGAAAATAATCACAGCCAAACATCCCTTCCCACATGGCTGTATCACAGAACAGTTTTAAGAAAACAACTGTGTTTTTAGATATTTATCAACCAACTCTCCATTATCTTTTCTACCCTGTGAAGATGACTTGCTTCATCACGTCACTTGTTATTCCTCATCTGGTCCTTAAGCTCCTGGTGAAATTTTGTTTTGTTTTAGGGTAAAAACCACTATACTCATACTATAAGGAAGGGTATACGGGGCGAGAAGAGTGCCATGCAGGCACAACTCTAAAGGCAGGGGTTGCTTCATCTTCCACAAGTCTAATGAAGAGAGCCCTTTTACCCCTTTTACATAGGCAAATGTAAAGAAGCAGACCCCTGAAGCTTCCAAGTCTGCCATCCTATAGATTTAAGTTGAGAACTCATTTCCCCAAAAAGGGAAAAGAAATCCCAATCACCCTCCACAATTCACAATTAGCCCAATGAAGGAGTTTTTGTGAAATCAGAGTGATGAAAACAAAACCAAGATCAGGGGAGTATGGAAGGGCATTTTCAGCGAATGGTAACATACATAAGGACATAGGTCACACATACAGGTCTCTGCCACTCTCTGGGAATGGCATGCTACAACTATCTGAAGACAGAAGGTTCTTGCCAGCATAGCTATTTCCTACACGTCCGATGAGGTGTTTGCTTCTTCTGGATCTCCAACCTGCATCGGCTACGCTCATCCAACCAGGGCAGCTCAAAATTCCTGGCAAAAAAAGAACAAGGAAATCAACCTGCAAGACTAGAAGAAATTCAGTATGGACATGAGACTAAGTCAAAGAGAGACAGTATACCCTTCACCACTCATAGCCCTGACTCCCAAGTCCCAAGTTTGGAGTGTCTTTCTTGCCTCAAAGTCAGAGCAACGGTGTGCTATTAAAGTGACTGAATAATCTATTTCTAAATCAAAAAGCAATCCTCCTAATTCCTGGCTTGGGAATCTTATCATTGTAAAAGCTAGTGGCCCAGGCAGCCTCACTTCTGTCAAAGAGCCATGGCCATCCCTAAGCCAACTATTCCACCTTATATTGAAGCTTTCATGAAGTCTGAAAGGGAAGTGAAGTGCACACCACCTGAGAAGAGGGAAAAAACTTTATACTTACTGTGGAGTTAGTTTTGGTAATGGT